GATGCTCGTTCAGTATATGCTTCCTCAATTCCAAAGTAAAATCTCCACTTTTCTAGGTATGTACGATGTTTATTGACAAATTACTAAATGTCAGTAAAATCTGTATGTAATTGAGTGTATTTCGTCAATACGCTTTAGAAGAGTGAATGAAATCTGCATCTTCCATTAGTTTTATCTTCTTTGCATTGAACAAATCTCATTTTTTCTCCACTACCAGTCTGATTTTCATTGTCACAATATTACTAATTAATAGTTATTTGTTCGAATAGTTAGAAACTACTTTCTATTAGAACATATTACCAGATAGAACTAAAGTTAGGCTTCATTGTTTTTATTTTGAAAGCTACAATAACCCAACATCAGATTCAATGATACATACAGATACATAAAAACATGTTATAACCGTTTCCTCAATCATCTATTATTCAGTTTTCTAAATAGCCTCTTGAATATTTTTTGAATATTCTAACATGTAGTGATTATTTATTGATCTACAAGCCTAAAATACTATTTATACTTAGATATTGAGTTAAGAGTCTAGCTGATGGTTTATATCCATTGATAAACTAAAACATGAAAGATGGTGGAAGTTTTTGAAACTTTTAGGTTTAACTACCTCAAAAACACATAATTCGATTCAATCAAAGCCATCTGTGTAATAAATATATTTTAGTTATGGCGAACTTTGACAGGGATTTGACTTGTTTAAATAGACCGGTATTTAGACATTTACTGATAAATACTTAACAGAGAGTTAAATCACTTAATTTTGTTATTTTAAAGAGTTCAAAACCGACTGAATGTAATCAAATCTAAACGCTTCTTTTCAAATACCTTACCAAGTATTCGAAAATGTAATTACCATATGTATATCGTTATAATCTACAAGAACTAGTACATACTAATAAAAATCATGGTTGACATAAAAAACAAAAGAAGACAAAACTAATGTCATTTGAAGATTTCATTCACCCTCTTAACATATGATGATCACTTTAATGCAAAATAAATCCGTTTTTATTGACACATCTGACCAAAAATAAAATAGAGAAATGGTCAAACTAATTTCTCTCAGGATTATTATCAAACACATAATGTATTTTATACTAAATGGAATTTACATGTCACTACTATAATGAATATCCTTACTTTATAAATAATACACTAAATTATTGGCAAATATCATAGTGAACAAAATGATACTTAAACTAAGATCTTGCATTTTATCTCATTCTATATTGTACCAAAATATAATATTCAATAAGGCCATTAATAATAATATATATTAAATTTAATTAGATGCTAGTTAAATATTCTTTTAATGAAACAGAATCCAACTATTAGAACAAGACTATATATAACTGCAGTTTACCAATGAGGTTGCTAACCCCATTCCCAACCCTTCTCCTTTATCCACGCTTGAAACCGGTGGTAACTCTGGAAGAGCTACAGGTGGAGTTTTATTTTAAATAATAATAATAATAATAAAGTAATAATGTTTTCTTTTCGAAAGAAACCTATATGAAACCTGTATTATCAGAAATGAATCTACTGTTAAGTTGAATTTCTCATTTGTAATAACTACATATTCTAAATTAATGATAAATTTTCGACTATAAATTTAATTCATGATGTGTTTGACCTTTTGATATTTGATATTTGAACTTATAATAAAATATCAAAATTAAGTTTGATATACATCTAGTTATAATATATACCGTAATATTCATATTCATATAAGCCAAAATATCAAACCAAACAAGGCAAATTACAAGTTAATTATAATAATGAAATAAAATATATAGATGGTTCTGATAAGTATGTAATATAGATTATTAGTAAAAATGACAACTTGATTATTTATAAGAAAAATAATAACCGCATAGTTAAATGGGTTAATATTGGAAGTAGGTCAAAACTTGGAGGAAATAAATAATAAAATCATTTAAATCCATTAAATTATAGTAACAATTAGTACAATTAATATTAAACAGTATTTTGTTATATCCCAATGAATAGAAAAAATGTATTTCTGACGTTACGTGATTTCATTCAAGCCACTTCTTCAGAGCAAATAAATAATAATAAATAATATATTTACTCTGAAGAAGTGGATTACATTAGGTCACGAAACGACAGAAATACATTTTTCTATTCATTGGGAAATAACAAAAAATATATTAATCATTAACTTTCTACACTATTCTCAATTTATTTGAAATTACCAAGTTCAACCTTAGTATTGATACTTATAATCAGTACAAATTATTTAGATGGTGAAGAGAAGATTAAAAAATTTGTTGAAGACAGAGGTTTTCACAGATTTCTACTGAATATAAATACTAGAACTTTAGGTTTAAATTCCTAAGACTTTTGTTATATATGAGAGACGATGTCGAACCGCTTTGGAAACCTTTTAAAGTATGCAGTAGATCAATAAGAATAATTCAAATTTTCTCCATCGTATAGTCGCTATTGGCTGATTGTAGTAAAATGCTTGTGTATGTTGTATTTGTTTGAGCCTTTCATGTTTTTCGATGATAGTTTTATGAAACATAATAGGTGCTCACTTCTGGTAGTGAACAGACCAAAACTTACTAATTACTACAAAAATATGTGAATAACTTTATTTTGGTTGATTCGTCAATAATTGAAAATATTGGTTACAGCAGAACATAATGATTTATGTGACTGATAACAGTAGTGTCTTTTTATTTATCACCAGTGAAAAAACTATAAACTTCTGTTGTGTTATGAAGTAGAACAATTAAATCTTTATAAGCAAAGATGGGTGGTATTTAGCAATGGAATCCAGGACGCGCGTTTCGTCTTATGTGGGCCTCGTTGACTGGATATGCTTGCATCTCAAATTTAATATTCACTTCGGGACTCGAAACATGCGTCCCGGATTCCGCTATCAGCCACCATCTATCTCTGCTCATAATACTTGTGACTTCAGGCAATATCAAGGCAATCCGATCAGGATGCACATATACCATAAAGATAATGATCAATTGCAGTCCTAGACATCAATGAGAAGATTGAAACAAATAATACAAAATGAATCAATTTTTTAGATTATTTTAAGTGCAAAGCTATGTAGTACCTGGACCGCCTTTTTATCTCAATGTAAAGCAAGCTATTTCTTAAATATATTTAAGATGCTTTTTAGGTTCTCAAAAGATTCTATCCTGTCTAACTAATAATCCTTCACGAATAATTAATCTGCAAAAAAATGATCCATATCAAATATTCGCATTCTAATACTTTGTTTCTAATGATCTATACATACTTTTCTGACTCTATGACAATTCAAGAGAATTAATAAATTGATGGCATACCTTTGTGAAAAGATAATGTAAATTTTAATCCTGTTATTTCAACATGACAGGAAAGGTCACTGGTTCGAATCCCGCCTGTGGGACCGTAAATGCACATTGCTGAAGAGTCCCATATTAGTATTATGAGTTAGATTTATCACATCAATGTATTTTCATTACTACATGATATCGGTTATAATGTAGAAAGGTCAGGGTTAGGTATTAAGAGTAAGGCTGAAGTTTTTAGTTGGGTTCGCAAATTAGGGTAAGGGTTGTCATCACCAACTGAAATCATTTACAGTCCAATATTTTACAACCCTTCTGTTTACGAACTTAAAAAGTAATTATGGTTGAGATTTAGAGGTAAAGTTAGAATAAGAGGATAATATATAGCTTCAATTAACACTCATGATTAAGCATTGGATCAAACTAAACACTGACACATAATTTGCCTTTAAATCAGTCACGTTTTGTCATTTGCCTTGAGCACTACCTCAAATCCACATTTTGGTTACATAATAGAGTCAATTAATGCCAGTTTTCTTCCAGGTAATAATAATATACAAATTATCTATCACTGCACTTTAAATTTCTTAAATAATACATGAGAAGTTATCTTACTTCCGACTAGTTAACTCAAGGCCGTTAGTACATGATGCTTTTACCAATATTATATTATTTAATATAACAGCTACCAGCTATATCGCTATCACCAAAGGTAAATAGATTTAATAAGTTAGAAATAATATTCATCATATAGTCCTTCGTTATAAAATCTCATTCTAAGAAATAAATCTTTTTATCAAACTTTTAATTATCCCTCATAGTTAAATTTAGCAAAAGCATCTTAGTTTTCTCACTTTAATATAACTTGTTAATTAAAGTAACAGTCTAGTCCTTTGATTCAAAACAGAAATGCACTGTACCGTTTCCTTTTAATAAAAAATAAACATAACGATAATAATTGCTTTATTCATGTTAGTTTATTGAAAGTAGTAAATTCTAGGCTCAATGTACTGACAGTCATTATGACTTGGCTTTAATTTTACAGCGATTAGTCTTATAAAGCAAATAACAAATATTAGAGGATGAAGTGAATTCATTTTATTTTTTTTTCAATGAAAGGATGGCGAGACTCTAATTTATGAACGAGCCAATCATAGGCGTTTGAGGGATTTTAAGGTTACGGCGCCAACTTCAGTGCTCAATGCTAACGTACGATCGGTTCACAGGGAATTTTGTACAAAACGTGATAAGCGAGCAGCTATAACAAATAAAACGGCGGGACTATAATTTGTGGACGAATCAATCAGGTATAAGATAATAGATCTCCTGCTTTAACGCGAGAGCCTTTCATCCATTTGGCTAAATAAATTTCTGGCATTATAGCTGATGTCAGTTCGTGATGAAAACCCCACATATAATTCCTAAATAAGGCAAATTACGACAATTATCGCGAACCGGATAATAAAAGCACCAGTAACACTGGCTGCAGCCAGATACTACAATATATACGGGTGTTTGGAGAGCGTACAGATTCCCATATAGGCATGGTTATTGTGAATCGTGAGTTGGCTACTCTAAATTCTACCGATTGACTAGCTTCAGATATCCCGGTTCGACCCCAATACTGTTCCCAATCTCCAATATATCAGAACACGAACCGTAGATGAAAAATCGTTTATGGGGTCAGGAGCAGCGGAATGATGATTTACAAACAAATGCATATTTATACAGTTAGGATTACTATAAATATTGACCAACAGAAAGATGACACGTTGAATAACATTGACCAATAGGAAAATGACACGCGAAATAAATATTGATCAGTAGGGAAACGACCAATAGGGAAATGACACCATTTAACGTTCAAGGGTAGCGTTAGACTTAACCGGATAATTGTTTCTGGGATTTTTTTCTGAGTATCCCAACACCTCCCCTTTGGAAAAGTTAATAGCGACGTAACCGGGGGTTTACTTGAAGTTTCTTTGGGTGTCTTCATTTGCGATCCGACCTCCGAGGCAACCACACAGAACCAGAAGGATGTTCTACTTGAGTAGATGACTTAGTCGTCTCTGTTGGAGGTATTGGCGGAAGTTGAAACGTGTCCAACAGCAAGTCGAGTGGGACGTGTTTTGTAATTGCTTCTTTCTCCTTCGCTTTCCTTGACCTGAGTTGATTGTGGTGCCTGGTCCAGATTTCTTGGCTCACCTTGACATCATACATGACGTCCCATGTTTTTGTGTGATTTCACCCTCTACCCATTTATCACATCCATGTCTATAATCTCGCGCATACACTTTCGTACCAACTTCGTAGGGAATTCGAGTATTCTTCCTCTGGGGGCTTTGCTGGGCCACTTGCTTGGGTTTCATCGCACCATGAACTGTCCGTAGTTTTCGCCCCATAAGCATCTCAGCAGGGGATTTGGAGTTTGGCAATAAGTCATGCGGGGTCGTCCGGTACGCAACTAGGAATCGTTCTATGATATCTTCTGTGGTCCCCTCCCCTCGTGCTTTAAGCATGGCTCGTTTAAATGTATCAACGAACCTTTCAGCTTGTCCATTAGATTGTGGGTGATATGGCGGAGAACGAACATGGTTGATCGAATTTTGCAGGCAAAATTCTCGAAATTGGCTAGATGTAAATTGTGAACCATTGTCTCTTACTATTGTTTCTGGAAGACCATGCTGAGCGAAGATCCGATTAAGGAGTTTGATGGTTCGAGTTGTAGAGGGTGGCGCAATCGGCAATATCTCCGGCCATTTGGAGTATGAGTCAACCAGTATCAGATATGTGGTACCATCTAGGGGTCCGGTGAAGTCAATATGCACTCGCGACCAGGGTTTTTCTGACTTCGGCCAGGGCACTGGAGGCAACTTAGGAGGATTTTTCGCAGCTTTTTGGCAATGTGAACATCTTTTGACGAAGTCGACAATCTGCTTGTCCATATTTGGCCAATATGCATAGCTTCGAGCGATGGATTTCATACGGTTTATCCCTGGGTGTCCAGAGTGGAATTGGCGTAGGACTTTGGAACGTAGGGTTGTTGGAATTACTACGCGATCACCGAACATCAGACAATCGTTAACAATACAGAGAGCGCTGCGACGATTCGCTAATTGTTGCATATCACCACTCAGCTGCTTAACTGGCCATCTGCTCTGAACATAGGTGATCGCTTCTTGGATAATCGGGTCTTCTCTGGTAGCTTCCCGAACATCTTCAGCGGTAACAGGCATTGCTCGAACGGCGTTCGCCAATAGTGTAGCATCAGAATCCTCTTCGGTTGATACTATGGCTATGAGTGTGTCCTCATCAGTGGTAGAATGGTTACTGATAAGTCTGGACAGTGCATCCGCTTGACCAAAATCTTCGGAACGTCGATACTGGATGTCGAAGTCGTACCGCAATAACGCCAACGCCCAACGTTGAAGACGATTAGCAGAATGGGCAGGAATGCCTTTCTTTGATCCAAAGATTGATAACAAAGGTTTGTGGTCTGTGAGCAAGGTGAAACGGCGCCCATAAATGAATTTGTGGAATCGCCGGACAGCAAAAATTAGGGCTAACGCTTCCTTCTCTATCTGACCGTAGCGTAACTCAGCAGGTGTTAATTTTCTCGAAGCGTGCATCACCGCTTTCTCTGACCCGTCGGGAAAGACATGTGAGATTACGGCACCCAGTCCATGTGTTGAAGCGTCAGCAGCAACCACAATGGGTAGTTTCGGATTGTAGTGGGTTAGCAGAAGATTGGAACTTAGCATAGCTTTAAGTTTTGAAAAGGCTGACTCACATTGAGTTGACCAATTCCAAGTAGCATTCTTTTCTAGCAGACGATTTAATGGATATCGTATGTCATGCAGTGATGGAAGAAATGCTGAATAGTAGCTAATCATTCCCAAAAATGATCGGAGTGAGGAGACATCAGTGGGAGCAGGCATTTGTTGGATTGCGTAAGTATTTTGAGGATCAGGGTGTCGTCCGGAAGCATCAAAGATAAACCCCAGGTACTTAACGAAACGTAAGAAGAATTGGCATTTTTCTGGGCGAAGGCGAAAACCATTATCCTGGAGGCGTTGCAGAACTAAGTGGGTTCTGGTATACAATTCATCAGCAGTTGCGCCGACAATGAGCACATCGTCAAGGTATGTAGCAACACCAGGAACATCTGCCAGAATAGTGTCCATGATCTGCTGGAAGATCGCTGGAGCAGTTTTGATACCGAAGGGTAACCGGGTATACTGAAAAAGTCCTCGGTGAGTGTTGATTGTCAACAACTCTCTCGATTCGAGAGCGACTGGAATTTGAAGGTAAGCATCTGCCAGATCCAGCTTAGCAAAATAGGTACCACCATTTAAAATAGTAAATAAGTCATCTGGGATCGGCAGCGGATAGTGATGCTGTTGTAGAGCCGCGTTGAGTCCCGTGGAAAAGTCTGCACAGATGCGTATGGAACCATTGGATTTTTTTACAACCACAATTGGTGCAGCCCATGATGAATAAGAAACAGGTACTAGGACACCTTCAGTTTCCAAACGTTGAAGTTCAGCGTCAACCAGGGGTAAAGATGCGTATGGGACTGAACGCTTTGGGCGAAAAACTGGCGTAGGTTCTGGCTGCAGTTTTAAAACAGCTTCAGTTGTGGAACAAAGTCCGAGACCAGGCTTAAATAATTCAATAAATCGTTTTCGAAGGTCTTCAGCATGCTGTTGTGTAGAAGCAGTAGTTTGGACTTGATTGCAGATAGCGCTAATAGGAAGATCAGCGAGACCAAGTTCTTCGAACCAATCTAAACCTAAAAGGTTGAGCGGAGAATTGGTGATGTAGCATGTCCCATTGAAGGTTTTACCTCTGAATGAAATACAGCAACAGAGTTCACCATGAAGGCGGAGTTGACCCCCACAGGCACTGACGGCTGTTTGAGAGGATGGTTTGATGGCAGGTTGACCCAAGGTTCGCCAAGTCTTTTTCGACAGAATGGTGATATCTGATGCAGTGTCCAACTGCAAACGAACTGGCTGACCATTGATTGAGAGGGTCAGAAATTTGCGTCGAGTCGCGGCATGAGTATGGAAGACTGCTGCTAAACTCCTTGATGAGGTAATCGGCTTTTTGTGAAAACGACGCTGCGTCTGTGCATTTCGACGGTTATTGAATCGGTTGGATTTGCAAAAGCCGCTTTTGTGACCAACTTTCTGACAGCGATCGCACACATGCTGTTTGAATGGACAGAACTTCACATAATGCCAGGCTCCACAGTGCCAACATGGCGAGGGGGGCTTCTTCTGAACCGGTTTAGAGTAATTAGAGATAGAAACAGCGCTGGCGTTCGAAGGACTCGAGTTTGTCGATCTCGAAGATTTTTTCTGGTGCTGAACAGCATGAACTTCGGAACCACCCTGGCCCCCAGATTGAACCAAAGTGGTGTCACGCTGCAGATTGATGATACGCTGGTATTCGTCTATGATCGCATTAAGTGTCAGTGTTGGATCTTGTTCAAGGCGGTTGAGCAACCGAGTTCTGATGTCGGAGAATTTGGGTGACTGAAGACTGCATATGAGTATTAGGGACTTGAATTGGTCTTCAGTGAGGGATCTGAGCTTGAACCGTTCGCACTCACGGTTAACAACGCCGACGTGGGTCAGGAAGTCATCAGACTCATTCATGACCAGTTTTAAGCAGCGATATCGGGTACTGAAGAGTGAGTGATGATCACCAAAAAGTTGGCTAAGGGACTGAATAGTGGCGTCGAATGAACGGTCGCGTGGGTTCTGCGGTAGAATGAAGTTGCAATACTTATCCAGCTCGGATGGACCAAGTTTACGGAGAAGAAGACACACCTTCCACGAATCATCTCTGTCAACAAAGTCAACTTTGAAAAGGTCTTCATAACGTCTGAACCAGGTATCAAATGTAATGTTGGCATCAGGATCATAAAGAAATTCTGAAATACCACTGGTAATACCATCAACTGATTCAGGAATTGTCGGTGCAGTTGGGACTCGAGAAGATATATGCGTCTGAGTAATCATCTCCATCAGCTTCAGCTGCTGTTCGAACAATTTTTCTAATTTGGCTGGATCCATAGTTAATCACCAACTTGTTGCTAAATCTCCGTCGCCAAATTTATTGTGAATCGTGAGTTGGCTACTCTAAATTCTACCGATTGACTAGCTTCAGATATCCCGGTTCGACCCCAATACTGTTCCCAATCTCCAATATATCAGAACACGAACCGTAGATGAAAAATCGTTTATGGGGTCAGGAGCAGCAGAATGATGATTTACAAACAAATGCATATTTATACAGTTAGGATTACTATAAATATTGACCAACAGAAAGATGACACGTTGAATAACATTGACCAATAGGAAAATGACACGCGAAATAAATATTGATCAGTAGGGAAACGACCAATAGGGAAATGACACCATTTAACGTTCAAGGGTAGCGTTAGACTTAACCGGATAATTGTTTCTGGGATTTTTTCTGAGTATCCCAACAATGGTTATGTGCATCGTGTCATTATTCACGAGTATCATTTTGTGCACTTAACAACCGGAGTGCACATATACAATAGTGAAGCTATGTGGTCGAGGCTGAAAGAGTTTTTGAGACTTTATCATGTCTTCAGAGGCCGACTATTCTGTAGCCGTACGGATGATTTCCTCTACTGCTTGCATTACGACATTAGAACCTCTGAACCCCTTTCTAACCTTGACAAGTTTATGAACCACGTATAAGAAGTGTATCCACATTATTTTCTTGGTTTTGTATAACATATTTTACTGTTTGCTGATTGGCTAATATTTCTCAAGGTCACTTAATATTCGTTCAAATGTCGTCCATAAATTAGAGTCCCGCCGAAAGGATATCTTTCGACGAACTTATTATCAAGCGGTACAATCATATATATATGAAACTTTTGTTAAAGTATTAGTTCCGTGATGCCGTATGGATAATGAATAAACAATGATGTAAAAGAAATATTATAATACTATATTACCTCATATGAATAATCACAATAAAAGATTGTGTATGCAAATAAAAAGGGCCTTGTAAAATTAATAAGCTATCAGTGGATTATAACCTAGTGTCCCAGACTTGAACATTTATATGACTGAGCAGCACCACCAACAATGGGCCGACCCAGCAAAGTTCATATTGGTTCACTATTTACAAGCTTTTCTCTATACTCTGCTTTGAGTCCAAAAGGTCAGTTGCCAGTTTCTACAATTATTATGTTGCAAACGTATATCAGGCTATAAATAAACATACAAGATCTCATAGCATCATAAAATGAAAAATCGCAATAATACACAAAAGATCAAGAAGTGGTTGTGAATAAGCTGCGAACAGTTGATTGGCAATAAAATAGGAATATTAAGCAGTAGAATATTAGTTAATAAGTTAAACGGATCCTTGAGATCAAAGTAACATATAAATAAAGTAATCTGAGGATTTGGTAGTTATACAAGGAAAATATAAATAATTGTATTTTGGAAGCTGGTTCTAACTTGTACAATATTTGTCCCATGATAACAATGGTGAATGAAACCATTTACTGAATGATGTTAAAATAACAAGACTAGTTTTTATGGTAAATGCAAGTTGGCAATGAAAATCTCAGTCAATAAAATTTGGTAGGTTAGAGAATGTTTTTAAAAGTTACGGTTCAAGGAACAAAAGCAGCATTTGTAGTTCTCAATGAAACAAAAGGGAGAAAAAATAATAGCAAACCGATAATATCAGTGTTATCTGAACCGTAAACTATTTTATATACCAACGCTAAGATTTAAAGGATTAACAGCTAATGCTTTTGAATGATGCATGATTCTACCATCTGTTATGTGTGTTTAAAACTTCATATACTGTACCAGGATCTATTCAATGTTTTGCGTCCAAGGAATGTCGTCCCTTAATACTGATGGATAATTTACGCTGAGAATTCTATATTGTACCAAAAATATAATATTGAATAAAGCTGATAATAATAATAATAATAATTCATTTAGCATATATTTTGAGATTCTTAGAGATAAAATCCTGGAGTTTATAACCTTCTATAAAACTTATTTCAGTTACTCTAAAATACTGACTTAAACAAAATTAACTGTTCAATTAAAAGTTTGTGTGACCATGAACCTAAAAATTTTTCTTCAAACCCAATCTACCTGTTTATATCTTATTCGGTAATTAACAAACTATTATAATATTGAGATTTTTTAATTTCTTTCATTTTGGAACTTAAAAGAAAATGGTAACAATATTTTTAAATGAAATAACCGAAAAAATGTTTCAATTTATTTTTGTATTGGTTGTTTGAATCTTCTCATTGATGTTTAAGACTGCAATTGGTCAGTATCATTGGTATATGTTCATCCTGTTCGTATTGCCTTGATATTGTCTTAGACTACAAGCAGTATTAGCAAAGATGGATGGTGGCTGGTGGTGGAATCCAGAAATCGCGTTTCTCCTTATTTGTGGCTCGTCATCTGGATACATCTGCATCCCAGAGTTCATGTTCACTTTGGGACTCGAACCTAGTACCGCTCGCTCCAGACTTAAAGCAATATTGAGGCCATCCAAACAGGATGTACATATAACAATAAGAGACTAATGAATTGCAATTCTAAACATCAATGGGAAAATTCAAAGAACCAATGTAAAAATGAATTAAAATTCACCTACTTTGCATAAGCTGGTGGCCATAAGGGTGTAGTAGCTTAGTGGATAATGCGATGGTATTTAAGAGAATAGTACTGG